CTGGCTGATGTTTGTGTGTTTGCGTGATTAATGGCTTTTGCTAAATTGATTTTCCACTTTGCTCTTGCATTCGGTGAATGTTTACTTGGAGCTAAATCAAATGTCACCACAGCTGATAAAGATTACTCTGTGTACTGTTTTCACAGCGTTTACCACTCGGCTGTATTTGGAGGCTTTGTTTGGCCTCGTGTTTACCCAGGGCAGGTCAGCCTGGGATATGTTTCTTTTTGTCTTTCCAGCTCACTGCCAGGAAAAAATAAATGCCTTTTTCTCCCCCTGCTTTGTTTAAATATACAATATGTACTGTAAATGTTAGACAGAGGCAGACTAATATCCTCTCTCCTCCCCAGCCCACCGGTTACATGGAGACATCATTGCCCTACAGCTCCATAGAGGACCTGCAGCTCCTCTCTTGGGACAATGCCCCAAAGTACTGCGTCCAGCTCAGCTTCCCTGGTGGCACCGTCCTGCTGCAGGTAATTCATTATCATTAATACTACGACTATTTTCACCTCCGCCAGGGAGGTTATGTTTTTGGTAGCATGTGCGAGCTGCGAGCAGGGTCGTGTTAACGATCCGTCACACCGAGGGCTTCGAGGTCGGCCGAACGATTTGTTGGTCAAAAAATTAGAAAAAGACTAAAAATTTGGAAACAAGGTTGATGTTGTCAGCATGTAGATATACACTTCATATAACCAGACTTAACAACAAGTTATCAACCTGACATGTCTTAAAAACGTACAGTGTGTATAAACAGCAAGAGCACTGCAAACTTTATAAATACTTTAAAAACAAAGACAACAGAATGAAAATGTAGAAAACTGTTCTCACAAATGTTAATGCTGCACTGATTGTTGCTCTAATAATTGTAAACTCTTGTGTTCAGCACAATTAGTAAATTACTAAGAGCAAAGTCAACCATGCAGCTGAAGTCTTATGAAAACGTAACTCTTTGTCTCCTTCGGAGCGTATCTGTAACTCGACAGTTTCTGGAACTAGATCAAAACATCGTGGCTTGATTTGCACATTCCAGGAACGCGCAGTCAAAACACGCTTTCCACATCTGGTTGCGTCAGTTTGTCAAATCTGATCTGCCCGATCCTACGACAGATTCTTATTTAAAGGTTAAGTTTAAACTTGATCACAGTTGTACATCAATACAACGCTTACTTCACTAAATGACTACAAAAAGCCCCAAACGCAATAATAGAAAATGACTACAAAGCGACACAGCTGACTCCAGAGCAGCTACAGTGGAACAAACCTGGCTGGGAGCCGACGCCTCTGTTGTTGTTACACAGCAGAACGGTAAAAAATAAAAATGTAAAATTGTCATCAGGTCATTGATCCTTCTTCTTATTGGCAGCCATGTTTAAAGCTGGAATAGCATCACTCTGTTTGTGGCCGTCACATTGATTTTTATTTATTTCGTTTCATTATTAGCAAGTATTTCTATGAACAGCTGGAATGTGACAAAAAGTTAAATAATTGCAGATAATTGTGTAAATGCTGTTTTGTTTGTAGCATTTTACGCAGTCCTGAATTTCCCTCCATCTTTAACTTATTAAAGCTTGTCTGTCTGCTTTGGCTCGGGACAACACAAGGTCCTGTCTTTGGCCTGTTGCTCCATGTACCTGCTCAGCATTAACCAGAGCCGCTCAGGGGGCACATTTAGTACCGTTACCCATTAGCCCAATTACCTTGGATACACAGCTC